TTATTTTTTCCACTTGTTGAATTTTGATAGCGTCAGGGAGGTCATCATAACTTATACGAAAACTTGTTATAAAATTATTAAAATCTTTATCTGATCTTAGTATATCTAGGATTTTCTTATATTCAAGACTTACCAACTTATAATTCTTATCTCCTAAATCATAAAATACTAAATCGTTTTTATCTTCATAATTATTTCTAAAAATAATCTTCTTTATCCATTCAATATTAAAGCTTTTCGCCTTTACAGTTGCTTGTCTTATATCAAATTTTTCAATATAAAAACTTTTCCCATATCGTTTAAATGCTGGTTTCATTTTTGTTTTTTCAGGGTCTTTAATAACATAAAGTTGAAAGTTTACTAAATATGTATCCATAAGTCGTTTTTGTTCTGGTGGTGGTGGTTTCTTATTTAGGTCTTCTATCATTTTGTTGTATTTGTCCCTTGCTTTTTCTGCTGTTCTCTTATTAGGACTGGTAAGGTTTTTAATGAAATTTTCAGCAGTTGCTACATTTAACATTATCCTGTCCTTGTAAAGTGATATGACTTTATTTATCCTTTTTATGGTTGCTTGTGTGATTTTAACCGAAGCATTTATTCTATCCTGCTTCAGTTTATTAAGTTTTCTAACATTGCTCACTATAAACTTGGACATATAATATCCTATATATAATATATTATATTATTTTTTTCTTTAGAACATTTTTTAAGAAAAAAATTTATAATAAAAAATTCTTTATTTTTTTTTAAAGTTTTTGGTCTAAAAAAGTTGGATAAACTATTTAATAAAAGATGATTTATTAAAATGTTTATTTCATTCGCTCCTCTATATAGTCCCTCATTTCTTTTTCACTTACGCTATACTTCTTTTTAGAACAACATGTCCTAAAGAATTCAAACATTGATAAAATTATTTCTTTTACAATCTCTCTGTTTTCGTCTGTTGAAATTTCAGATAGTTTATCAAAATCTCTATATAGAAAATTCCAATGTAGTAAGTTATTTAGGAACTGTGTTGAACTTTTAACACGCCCTCTACGACATGAAACTAAAAAATTCAACATCTGTTTTTTCAATGGATGTTGTGAGTTATGTATTATATATTTGTAATCGTGCATTGTTAGCTTTGGCTTCATGGTGTTATTATCAAATACTTTCATCAATAAAAAATGAATTGTTATTCTTGCCTTAAAGTGGTCTTTATTTTCCTCATATGGTTCTTTGTAATGGTCGTTAAAGTAGATACAACCGTGGCAATTACTACACTTCTCATAATCCCCTAACATGTTACAAAAATCATCTGGTAACATTTTATTTAATGTTTTATGTTGTTCTTTGATTTCCTCACACTTCCAGCAATATGTTAACTTGAACATCCTGTATATATAATACTATAGATTTTTTTCTTTAGAACATTTTTTTAAGAAAAAAATTTATAATAAAAATTTCTATATATTTTTTTATAATAAAAATTTCTATAATAAAAATTTCTATATATTTTTTTAAAGTTTTAAAAGTTCAAATCGTAAATATGGTCGGTTGCTCCCTTTCACATAAAAATTGCTTTGGTTATTTCTCTGTTCTATTTTTTCTATTTCGTGTGTTTCTTTTCCCCATATTCCGACTCTTTCCTTTTCTCCCGGTTTCTTTTTTCTGTAAATTCTCACCTTGTCACCTACAGATATATTAGGATATTTTCTAGTTCTGGTTGCTTGGTTTGTCATGTTCTGTTTTGCCTTAAGTTCGTTCTTCTCCTTCATTGCTTCCTTCGGTGTCATTTTAATAGTTGAATGTTCCATTTTATTATTATATGTTAATAAAACTTCAAAAATATAGTCTGTCCATTGAATATTCGTTTTACCTTTTTTTCATCCGCTTCAACTCTTTTGTAAAGCATGTCCTTAAAAGTTCTAATTGCTCTCTCGCTAAAATTTGCATGTGCTCTCGTTCTGTGCTCTCGTTCTGTGGTGTTGTATTCCTTCCTTGTTTAAATATTCTTGAATGCTTGCATTTTGTAATGCTCCCTCGTCGTCGGTATATAATATTTTTGGTTTTCCTCCCATTTTATTAAATCCTTCAATCATTGCCGATGCTACATTGCCTTCGTCTTTGCTTTTAATCGGGACTACCACCATAAACCGACTAAAAACATCTATCATTATTGCTCCGACCTTAAATTTTTGATTTTCAAGGTCAGTTATAAAAAATAAATCAAATTGAAATTCATAAAATGGTTCCGGGGCTATAAATGAATTTTTGCCTCTTATCTGCTTCTTCTGTTCCACATTTTCCCTAAAAATTTATCAACATCAGCCATTGTAATGGTTTTATCTTTTTCTCTTGCATATTTTAATGTTTGCTTTTTGCTTCCAAAGCCTGCTCTATCAAAATAGATATCATTTATTATTGAATTCTTTTTATTATCCTCGCCGTCGCTCATAATAAAAAGAATTAGATTATATTCAATAGTATAGTATTTTATAAAGCATTCTTATCATAAACTGGGCATTTTTATGATCAAACTTTTTTAGAATCATGTTTCTAAAAAAATCAAATGATAATTTTTTTAGATTTATATCTTCATCTCCTTTTTTTCTATTTTTCCTCTTCTGTATCATGTTTAATATATCTCTCTCACTCTCACATGTTTGTCTATCTGACGGTGTATGTCCATAACTTAAACAATGTCCGACATATCTTAAATAACACATTGAATGTTTATTAATATGTTTGTTTATATTCTTGTCATTAACTTCTGTCTTTATGCTTTGTAAAACTCGCGCATGGTGAAGTATAAGCCATGTTTCAGAGTTATATGTCTCTATGAACAATCTGGTATTAACTATGTCGTCGCACCTTTCGCACCTATTAAAGGAATTTATTAAATTAAATGCATCTTCTTGTAAAACCTGTTTACATAATAGTTTTCCTGTGACCTTTTGGTCAGCACATCCTGGACAGAGAACTGTCATATATATTAGTATAGATTTTTTCTTTAGAACATTTTTTTAAGAAAAAAATTTATAATAAAAATTTCTATATATTTTTTTAATAAAAAAATATAATAAAAATTTCTATATTTTTTTTAACAAAAATTTTTATAATAAAAATTTCTGTATATTTTTTAAGAATTTTATTCCCAAAATTTCACCTACCAATTAGAACAGGGAACAGGTTCCAGCTCCAACCTGGAACCCCTTCCAATTATCAACTGGAACCTCATTTCCCCCTTTATTTAAAAGGTTCCAGCTCAAAATTGGAACCTCATCCAGCTCAAAATTGGAACCTCATCCAGCTCAAAATTGGAACCTCATCCAGCTCAAAATTGGAAGCTTTTCCTTGTTCACCTTATGCATTTTTATTCTCATTTTCAGTTGAGGTTTCTGTAGTTTCTGTGTCTTTTTTCTTTTCTGTTTTCTTTTTTGAAGGCTTTAACATAACAACATTGTCAAGTGTGTATTTTTGATTTTTTTTAACCTTGATACCTGCTTTAGTTTCGGTGAGTTCTAATTTATCCATTATATCAATATTTTTATCATTTAATATTTTATCTAAAGCTTTTCGTTTATGGTATTGTCTAGCACTTTCTTTTTTAACTTCGTAGTATGTTTGTTCTGACTTTTTTTATGATAATAAAGTTTTTGATATAGTGCCAGTTGTTCCTTAATATCGTCCATCGTCAATTCGTTTAACATTTTTTCCAAAGTATTATTTTCCATATATATTATAATAGAATTTTTTCTTTAAAATATTTTTATTATAAAAATTTCTATATATTTTTTTTAAAAAAATATATTTATAATTTTATATTTTACATCGGGGAATGTGTAAGATATAAAATTATGAATTCATATCAAACTAATTAGTCTCTATCTTATGTAGTGCAACACTTGCCATTGGGGGCTTTTCCTTCTCCTTTATTTCAAATGGCACACTGCCCTGTCAATATATACTACAAATTAATTTTTAAACATATTAATCCATAATATTTAAACTATGATATTTATAAAAAAAATCTATGTAAAAATAATGAATAATACCATTCCCATCGTCAAACCAATAGATATTCCAGAATATACATACAAACACTCAAAATATGATATGATGCCGTCGCTTCCATTCCGTGGTATATTAGTTGCTTCATCAACTGGTGGTAAAACTGTATTGATCCAAAATCTCATATTGAATATTTATAAAGGTTCCTTTGAAAGAATATTTATATTCAGTCCTAGTGTTCATGTTGATGACACATGGAATAGTGTAAAAAAACATATATCTGATCATATGAATGTAGATACCGAAAAAGAAAAAACATATTTTGAAGAATATAACCCTGAAGCATTAAATCAAATTATAAAAACTCAACATAAAGTTATAGATTACCAAAAAAAGAATAAACAAAAGAATTTACATTCAATATTAATCGTCATTGATGATTTCGCGGACGACCCAAAATTCGTAAGGTATTCAAATATATTACATTCATTATTTACCCGTGGTCGCCATAATGCTATATCTGTATTGTTATCTACTCAGAAATATAATGTCCTAGCTCCTATTGTAAGGTTAAACGCTTCGGCTTTATTTATATTCCGATTGAAAAATATGAATGAAGTAAATTCATTTCTAGAAGAAAATTCCGCATTGGTAAATAAAGAAGAATTATATGAAATGTATAGAATAGCTATAAACGATGCTCCCTATTCATTCTTATATATAAATACAAATGCAAAAGATATAAATCGTATGTTCTTTATTCGCTTTGAAAACGCTATGACTATATCTTCAGAAATTCAATAATATATATATATATATATTATGTATTTCAAAATATTATTTATTTCAATCATAAATATATTATTTTATTTGTATATAACCCTTCCCAGCGGTCTCCTTCATTTTGGCACCCCCGAGCGAAGATCACAGCGCCCATCGTCCAGTGGATCACCTTGGATGGGTTTTGTGGTATTTGGTGATTTTTTTTTATCAGTATAATTCATTCAAGTCACTTCATCTGTTTTTTCACAGGAGGTGGAATGACTCTTGGATGAGGCATTGATTTTGATGTTGTTGTTGGCCTTGCTTTCGCTCTTGGCTTTTGGAATGCCATCGGCAGGTTCGTGTTGGCAACCTCAGTTATGTAAAACATTTCAACAACCTGCATATACAAATAAAAAAGCATAAAACAACCAAATAGTTGCAACCAAGACACTGCCTTGCTTCTCCTCTCCTCTTTTTCTTTCTCCTCTTGTTCTTTCTCCTCTTTTTCTTTCTCCTCTTTTTCTTTCTCCTCTTTTTCCAACCTCCTCTTCTTCTCATACTCCATAACCTTTCTCATATTGTCATCCTCCTCTTTCATCCATTCGCCCTCCCAAACCTGGCACTCCTTCTCCCACTTCAAAAAGAACTCGTAGCCCAATTGCCAGTCCTTGGTTGTAAAACACAACATGATTTAACAAAAAAAATACAAACAAATTCTGTCAAGGTGCTCGAAACGTCGTCTTGGACGTTGCCTCAGTTATACCAACAAAACACATGAATCTATAATAATGTTGTTATTGAGTCAAATAGCAAGGATCACCATGTCTTCGTCGCTCGCCGGCATGAGATGAACGAAAGACATGGCTCACAAGAAAAGAAAGGAATAGAGGAGATATATGGACGGTTCGGTAGCGAAAATGACTGCGGGAAAAACAACAAGTTCAGCCACTGCAACCACACTCATGTCAGAATGCATATGCCGAATTGCACATGTGCAAAAGCAGTATAAAAATTCAATATATATCCTAAACCCTAAACCCGATATATAATATTATTTTATTAAAAAAATAATATTATATCATCAAATCAATGAATAACTACATAAATTCACAGCTGGTAATTTATAATATATTTTATCACTCTTCGTTTCTTCTAATTTTTCAATCCTTTCTATACAATCCTTCAAGGTATCAAATAATAAGATATCCGCTTTGGTCTTTTCATTTATATCTAATTCTTTTATCTTTTTAATATTTTCACTAGCCATAGATTTGGACGATCTAGAACCCATGTATATATATTAATTTATATATTTTTTTAATCACTATCGCTTCTATTCTTCTTCTTTAACTTATTTACTTCCTTCTTCAACTTTTCTACTTAATTTATTGTTGCTTGTAAAGCACTCCATAAAATCGGAGTAGTAATCGTATAGTCAAATTTTAAATATCCATCTCTTCCTTCTTTTACTAAATTTTGCCATTCATCCGGCATCTTCTTATATTCCATAAAATCATTAGCAATAAATCCACAGCATGATTTACCTTCTAATCTATCATCAACAAAATGATAAGTTTTAGGTTTAATATGTTTTATTAATTCTACAGCTTTTTTACTATTTATTTCTTTTATATCTTTCTTTAATCTTTTATCAGATGAAGGAATTAATGACCCTGTGTATGAAAGGTCACCATAAACATCAACGCCTGTATTTGTTGCATCCAATCTAGATAAATTATTATTACTTAATCTGATAAATCCATCTGTATCGGGATTATTTATTAATACTCTTTGTGATCCTGATACATCAGTATGTGTTATTTCCAAATTACCTAATAAATTTACTTTTCCTTCTGTTAATTGAATTTCTGGTGTGCTTCCTATAGTTCCTATGACAAAATTAATCGCTCTATCTGTATCTCCATTTCTTATATCTAAATCATAATCGCTTCCATTTAATGTTTCCTTAATGCCTGATGAGTGTTGAAATAATATATCACCCCATACTCTTAAACTTGCTTCTGCTGTTATATCACCAATGCTATTAAAAGTTAAATTATTTGTGACCGCTCTGTTTAATGTTATTCCGTTAGTATCAGTTAGTTGTAATGCTATTGTTGCTGTTGTCGGGTCAGTTGCTCTGTTAGCTTGAAATGAAAAATTTATTTCATCGTTTGTTATTAAATTTAATGAATTATTGGCGTCGGCTCTTCTATACATTTTGCTATTATTCCATATTAATATTTCATTGTTAAAAGTAGTAGCTCCGTTAAACCTTACGGTAGAAGTAAAATTAGAATTGCCACCATTCACATTAAGAACATCTACAACTGCATTAGCTCCTATACCTAACTTATTACATCTTACGGCGTTACTATTATTCATATTTAAAAACAATTGTTGTGATGAGTCATTGGTATTATATGCATCAATACTAAAACCTCTAAATCTTATTTTCCCGCTGTTGTTAGCAATCGCTACAACATTACTTGCGTCTGTTGTTGGCTTGTAAATCGTTAGTCCTGAATTATTAGAAACATTAAAATTATCAGTTTCATAAAATATATTATCTTTAAAATATGTAGGTTTGAATAGTGTTGTTCCTCCTGTTGTATTATTACATTCTATATATGTATTTGTATCAGTATCGTCATTAGTTCCGTTAATTAATCTTATAGCACTCGTTGTTTCATTTATTGATAAATCCATTGATATATTAGATTTTGTAGCATTTGTATATCTTTCAATACTTGTATTAGCATTAGTAAATTGAATATCACCATCTACTATTAAATTAGTTGTTAAATTAATATCACCGCCAACTGTTAAATTACTTGTTAAGTTGATATTTCCAACAGATAAATCATTAGTTATATTAACATTTCCCGATGGATTTAAATTTAAGTCTACAACGCTGTCGTCACTTGTGGCATTTGATATAATTTTATTTCCTTTTAAAGTTATATAATTTGTTTGATTTCTGAATACTGCTACATTTCTGTCTGGTTCTGCTCCGAACTGATTACTGAAAAGTAAGCCCTCTAATGGTTCTACATTGATTGTTGAGTTTTTTAAAGTCATTCCTAAATGTATAATAGTCGGTCTTGATAAATCTATTACTGGAAAGAAACTAGCATTATCGGTAAACAATGATAAATCCGCTTTTAAATTTAGTTTGTCATCAATCTGTGTATCAGTGTATCCACCACCACCTCCTGCACCTGCTACTAATGTATCTACCTCTCCCTTATTATAAAAATTTGTAGCTAACAATGTGTTGTTTTGGTAATTAGTAGATAAATTTGTGTCTATTTGTGTGGATGTGTAATAATTAGTAAATGTAGTATCTATTTCTGTTTTATTGTAAAAATTGGTAGCTAGAACTGTGTTAGTTTGGTAATTATTAGTTAAATCAGTATTAATTGAATTAATATTATTGAAATTTTGTAATTGTTTTGTGCTTAAAACTGCTATTGCGTCAGCGTTTGCTGTTATTTCCGTTGAAAAATTAAGGTTGTTAAGATCGTCTTTCGTAGCGTATGTGTCGCCTATTTCACTAACTCCTGTGGAAAATATTTTATATATTTCATTCGCATAAACTGTGTTGAGATTATTTATAGATGCCATTATTATATTAAGTAGATTATATTTAATATAATAATGTTTTTATTTCACTTAGTCTAAAACAGTGGAGGCGCTTTCAGAAAGTTCAAAAACATGTTCACTCACTAATGTAACATATACCTGTTCAATTCCTAACGCGAAAGTTTGGTTAGCCCCTTTCAATTTAAAAGTCAATAATGAGCCCATTTTAGTGTTAGAACCGGTAAAATTCATATCAGGTTGTTTATCAAAATTTATTCCTCCTATAAACTTGTCGTTAGCGTATCTATAAATGTCAATTGAAAAACCATCATAAAACGGAGACATAACATTAACAGCACGGCGTAGGAAATACATTGCTTCGGATAAACTTTCAATTGCTTGTTCTGGGAACTTTTTATTAGCGATCTGAACATAATATGAAAGCTGCCTATCACTATCAATAACACCTTGTAAATTGTCAACGGTAACTGCCATAGGATGATAAAACCAATTCCATTTTTTTCGTGAAAAATTCCCTGGTGTATTGCTATTTTGTATGGCTGGATTACTAAGTGTAAAGAACATCTGCGACAATCTAGTTGAAGATTTAACAATATTCATATTGATTTCTGTATTTCCCGTGGAGAAAGTTTGTGAAAAACTGTGATAGGCGGGATAAACCATTCTAAGACGACCTCCTTTCAATAAATGCGAAACCACGTTGTTATTGACGGAATTGTCTACTGTTATTAATTCACATCTTAGGATGCAGTTCTGAATTGCCCATGATGTAGTGGTGTTTCTTGTGGTAAAGTATAAACCGTTAACATCGTCTGCTGCTTGATTTGCAGCAACTGGTGTTCCTGGATTAATTACCGGTTCCTGTGGATCTGAACAAATTTCAAAAATAAATTCCAACGGACAATAACGAATAGGAGGATAATACCCAGATTGAACGAACCCACAACAAGGCTTATGACCCATCCTAACGAATTTTCCTTGTGCAATACCTGTAGTATTTGCCCGCGTAAGTTTAGGTAAAACAATTCCTCGTATATTTGTTCCAGTATTTGCAGTGGCGTCATGACCTTCAATAGAAGTTGCAAAAAGTCTATTAATTTTGCTGTCATATCGTGTTAAACAACCTTCCTGAATATCGTCTAAATTTCTTACTTCTTCAGATTTAAAAGATTTCATTTCTTCACATACTAAATTGTAATTATCAATGTCGTTAATTTGTTGTCCTGCAGCGTTGCATCTATAACGGGTAAAAAATGTATGACTTTCTCCTAGAGGTCTTAAATATTGTCCTGCTGTCTGTGATGTGTTAACAACATCAAAAAATAAACAAATACTGGACATATCAATATAATTGTTGTCTTCTCCTGTGATAACAAATTTAATATATTTATTACCATTGTTACTACTAATTACATTTCCGGATACACTAGGAAAGTGAACCTGTTTACGATCTGTAATATACGCGGCGCTTTCTGGAAGTCCGAACTGTAAGGAATTTATCATATTATCCTGAGTTTCTGCTATAACTAAATCCATTTTATATATATTATTTAGATTTTTTATTATTAATATTATTTTTTTTATGTGAATTTAAATTATTCATATTTTTAGAAATTTGTTTTTCTAGTTGTGGTTGCGCTACTGCTGAAACATCAGTTTCTACAATTCCCCTGATCATTTCATAAGATGAATTATTTATACTTTTTGTAATTTTATTTTTAAACTGAATGTTCTCGGGGATTTTTCCTACTCTTGTTTGTTCTTTTGATTTTCTGACCTTGTTAAGCATTATATTATATTGTTTTAGATAATTAATACATACCTAATATTTTTATTCTTTCATCAATGCCTTCTAACTGGTCAATATCATGACTTGCTATAGGATTGAAAGTTTTAGCATCATAGCTTATAGCCGCGTTATCAAAAGCACTCACGGGGTCACCTGTCATTCTAAATCTCTTGTGCTGTTCCGTCGGTCTATCTAAGCCAATCATAGGTGAAAAGAAACTTACCACGGGAGCATTATAGGTTCTCGTTTTATAATTTTTATCCTTGAATTCTTTGTTTAATTCTAAAACAACACTGCCTCCCATACTGTGCCCTAATAAAGTATCCACCTGTGGATTTTCCATTAATACTTTTTTTGCTTCTTTGTAGCGATCCATATCTCTAATTCCACCTGTTTTTAGATTGGCCATTAATACTTTTTTTGCTTCTTTGTAGCGATCCATATCTCTAATTCCACCTGTTTTTAGATTGGTGAAATTTTGTTGCCAGTCCCTAGCAGAAGATGTGCCAGCCACATACATTTTATTTCCTCTAACAAAAACTTTATTATCCCGATCATATGCATATTTGATACCTTGAGTATTTGAGATTGTTCCAACATCTTATTTAATTGTCCTTCAATCTTTGTCATATATATAAAAAGATTATAAATTAATTTTATCAAATATAATATATACTATTATGAGTATCAGACCATTAACATATAAAAAAGTTTATGTAAATTCAAAATATCGCACTTCAAACAGTCGCAGTATCAGCGACTTTCAAATAGAATTAAGGGAAACCTTTTGAAATTCCAGACGGAACTATTATGCAAGTTCACGAGTTAGCAATTCCTAACACATGGTATTCTATAAACGAAAATAATAGAAATTTATATTTTGAACACAGAGTATTAGCACCTGCAACACCAACAGGAACAACTTATATAAGAATTGAAATACCACTAGGAAATTACACACCGCCGGAATTGGCATCTACAATACAAAGAGAAATAAATTTTTTCTTTGATGTTACAGGCAGACAGAATACATACACGGTTGTATATAATACAACATCAAACAAAATAACAATCGCATCAAACTTTTCAGAAATTATTTTTATTGTTCTTCCTGATAACTTGATTGCAAATTTCGTAGGGTCTTTTTCAAATAATGTTGATCTAAACAATTTAAACAGTATAAACAGTGTTTTAAATACACCACAACCTCTAGATTTTTCAACTTCTGCCGTTCCATGGGTTTCTGGATTTATAAATTTATTAGCACATCAAGATATTTATATATCATGTCCTGAATTATCAAATAATAATTTTCACAGCCCATCAACATTTTCAAATGCCATAGTCAAAAAAATTCCTGTAAATGCTTCATTCGCTAATATTATAAATGATCTTTATGGCGTCACGGATTATGATTATGTAAATGTCTCGCGTCGTTCAATAAGAAAATTAACATTTAGAATTACTGATGAAGTAGGTAACCTTATAAATTTTAATGGTGTTAATTTATCATTAAGCCTCCTCTTTCATAATACAGACGCAATGTGAATTTAAATAGAAAATATATAGAATGTTATATATGATAGAACAGAATTCAGAAAATGCTGTAGTTAACGATGAACCTGAAAACGAAGCAATAGAAGCACCACCAGAAACAGAAGTTGAAAAAAATGAAGCTGTGGAAGAAGAACAAAAACGAGTAAAAATTACAGAAGTTATAAAAAATTCTACTGAATGCAAAGACTGTAAAAAACCTATGTCTGTAAAAACTTTACGATATAGTCACCCTAGTGTGTGTGAAAAGAAACCGAGTAATATTATTGATAAACCAGTTAAAAAATATGCACCTAGAAAAAAAACTAAAATAAATGTTGAACCGTTAGCACCAGAACCTGAAGACAATAATTTTGTAGAACCACCACAATATCAAGAAAAACAACCGCCTGCATCAAAGACAATACCACCTATACCACCTAAACCACAACCACAACAACCCCTAAATCCCTATGCAAATTTGACACAACAGCAATTATTGCAATTGCAAATGAGATCAATGAACGCCGAAATTATGAGAAGAAAACAGGAAAAATCCGATAATATGTGCAAAGCTATGTTTCAGGCTAGAAGTAAAAAATCTAAATAATAATATATACAAATGGTATTATATAATAGGTTTAAATTTCAAAAAAATAAAAAATTACATAAAAAAATCATTAGATAATCCTGTGGTAAATTCATCGGAAGATATGGTATATCGTCAACAAAATCTAGACTATCTATTGAACTTGAAAAAACAATTAGAAGCGAGAGAGGCGAAAGAAAAAAACATGGCGTTTAAAAGAAGATTATTAGAAGGTCAAATGAAAGCAAATTACGAAAGCGAATTGGCGAGATTGAAAGGGGAAATGCATAATCCACGAATACCCGAGACTTCACTAGAACATCTTAGAAAACGGTATGATACATTAACCCAATTAAGTGAATCAATTTTCTAAAACAATATATAAAAAAGAATGGTAGTTAAAAATGCTGGAATACAATTTCACAGAAGATCTAGATACGAAGATATTTTGGAGTTGGTTAATGACAATGAAGAAGCGTTAAAACCATTTCCGAATAGAGATGCTGTGTTTTATAAACAAAGCAACAAAGGAACTCGTTTTGATGGCAAGGATCATTTAGACAAATTGAAAATTCAAGAAAAACAAATCGCCGAACGAATAGCTAGGGATCTCATGCAACGACAATACGCTGACGATAATGATTTAACTCATAGATCATTATTTACACAAAATGACAGACCGGAACCAGAGCAACCCAGACAACCAGAACAATTTAACATAGGAGGTAACATAGAGTCTATAATTGAAGAATTCGGAACACCACAAGAACAACAATTAGCACAAATTAATCAAACATTAGGAAACATAGCAACAGCACAACAGAGCAACCAACAGGGAATTACTCAAGCACATCAACAACAATTAGAAAGAGAAGAAGAAGGAGGATCGGGAATATTAAGAAGTCTAGGAAGGGGAGCTTTAAGTGTAGGCAGTGGAGCTTTAAGAGTGGGGAGCAATGTTGCAGGTAACATGATGTCAGGCATGGATTTAGGTTCTTCACTTGTTACTGGACTTTCGCAAGAAATGGCACAAATAGCAATGAACAGAATGTTGCCACAACCTAGACCTCTATTAGATTTTTCAGGAACGGCAAGAGACGGACAATATACAACATACGACCCGACGACGGTATTAGAGCCACATCAACCCAACGTGGGAGCAACACAACAACCATTACCAGTTGCATCATCAAGTCAACCCACAACCACAGAAACACCTAGACCTAGACCGGCACCCAAAACATCATCTGCACCACCACGACCTAATGTTCAACAAGGCGGTTCATCAAGTTCAAGCGGAATTGCACCACGAGAAGAGAGACCAAAAAAAGAAAAGGAACCAGTAAGAAAAGGATCAAGAAAAATTAAAAAAGATGGAACCTTATTAAAAGACAGTCAAGAAGAAGAAACAACCGGAACAACTTTAATCAAACCAAGTAAAATAGGAATACAAAAAATACGCGAGATATTTGAAGAAGCAAACAATAGAAAAACAATAACTAACGCTACATACAGAAAATACCGAAGTGCATATAACAATTGGATAAAATCAGCAGGAGATAAAGAAATGAAAAAAATGTATCTTAAAGAATTAAAAGACATATATAGACAAAATATTTACTCAAAATAAAACATATAAATATTTCAATAAAAAATATAATTTATTGAAATATTTATTACTTTAATCAACCCTTCCCAGCATCGTTTTGCTCAGCGAGGCGATGCTTCATCCCCGAGGCTGTTCTGTGCCATCGCTCGCGAGGATCCTGTGAGGATTTGGAATAAAAAAACATTATAATATTATCAGAACTACTAACCAAAAAGTAATATAAAATGTTGCCTTTCACAAATCTGTCCTCCACTCCCATAGTGGTCTGTGCCGTTATCCAGATCACCTTCAAGGGATTAAATTTATGTTTTTTTTTATATAATTATTTTATATTTTCCCCACCTCTAAAATGGTAGGCGAAACAAAAGAAGAACCACCAGATAAACCAGCGACCATAGAGCGCCCCACGCTGAATATAGCCACCTTGCAGCGAAAACAAAAGAATAAACAAACTATTGTAAAATTTATTTACTATATTCAAAAATGTTTTTATAACATCCCACCTCATCAAGTGGTAATTTTTGGCGGACGCCCTCGTTTTTTGGCGTAGATATAGACACGGAAGAGATATCCGGCATCTCTTCGTCGTCATCTTTTTTGCCACTGTCGTCATCGTCATCGTCGTCGTCATCGTCGTCGTCGTGGCGGTTTTCCGCGTCGTGGTGACGATCGCCATGAACAGGGCATTTACTTAAAGACCCGTACAATTTTTGCCATTGAATATCACCATTAGAAGAACTCCACAAACTAACGACCAATTTTTCCATAGCACGTAAAGCATAAGATTTAAGGGCAGTAACCAAAGTCTCTACCTCCCCCAACTGATCATCTACATAATGAAACAAAACATCAACCAATTGTTTAATCCTTAATTCCCCGTTATTGCTTTTTGCTAGTTCCTCAATTAAATTAAGCCTTACCTTCCTATTAACAACCGATAAAATAGTGGTAATGCACTTCTTCGGGTCGGTTTCTGCCCAAGCTAGGGTTTCTTTAATAAGCTTTATTTGTTCGGTAAAAACAGCTGAAACCGCCGACGAAGAAGTGATCCGTGTTTCAAGGCTCCGTGCTTCTTCATTGATAAAACGGATACGTTGATTTTTAGAAGTATATTTGTTGGTGCATTTAAACCCCATAGCATTAGATGAAGAAGCACGTGCCCTTTTACCCCCTCCTATTTGATAAAAAACTTTATTGCCCTTATCATCCAAGATCTCCTGTCCACCAGTGTAGATGTCTTCGTCGTTGCTGTCTTCTTCGTCGCTGTAGTATAGCATACCCATAACATTGTTGAACTCTTCGGCAGAATGTGAGCTTACCTTACTGTATATTTTATATAAAATTTTATTATGAAAAAATATTTTTGTATATACTTAATAAAAAATAAGTAGCGTCCCAGACTTGGTCGTCTTTAGTGATGCCGTAGAGGTCGTAGATCTTTGCCATGACATTGTCCATCGTGTCACTGGCTTGAACATCCATGGTGATGGTCTCGCCCGTCATGGTCTTCACGGAGATCTGCATGGCCTTGGTATAAAATATATAAAAGTGTATAAAATATAGAAATATATTCAATATAAACCAATATAAACAAAAATATAAAAGTTTATAAAATACAATCCGAGAAACGACGGGTCAAAGCGAATTGAAAAAGTTTCTTGAAACACTCAAAAAACTGGAGCAACAAATGCTAACGCGAAAAACACAGGTAGCTCGACAAACGTGCTCACATCACTCAAGACAAGGCTCGTGCAAGACGCTTCCACTCACCGCTTTTTGCTATTGCTGCTAGGCAACGCAACGAGTGTGTGTTCTATACCGTGGAGTTATGAGGCACATGTGGCCTTTTCAAACTCCTCATAAGAGACAAAATTTTAGTTGCTGGCTTCTTAATCTTCTTCTTGATCCTCTTCAGTGCTCGCATAAGCGGTGCTATCATCTGCGGAGTCGAGACCATCTGAATCAAATTCTTCATCAGCAGGTTCACGAACAAATTCAAATAGTCTTAAATCATCAGTAGGATGAACGTTCAAGACGATGCGGACATGGTAGCTTCCTGGAGACAATCCGAACTGAGGAGCAAGAGGCGCCTTCACGTCGATATCATCAAGATGCGTTCCGTCAACGGAAATCTCTGCAACATCATGGCGTTCGAAAGGACTAAGAACTAAATCGACGCCCATCACGTGCAGAAACAAATATTCGACATCGAGAGTTTTGATCAACGTGCCATCCACAGATAAGAAGTATTCGATCTTGCACATGATGCGGTAACTTGGGTCAAGTGGTTGAGGCTTCAAGCGGAAATGAATTTCACAACCATTGCCACGTGTCAACGCAAGTTCTGTAGCAAAGATGCCATCGAGTCCTTGAATGGTGGCAAAGGTAGCAATCACACCGTCGAGGCTGATGTCAACAATGACAAAGTCGCCATATGGATGTAAGACCTCCTTTACTGTCTTGGTTGACACATCGTCCCACGAAAGGGCTTTGAAGAGATACAAGAAATCAGTAGGAGAACGAGCCACGATGTCGAACTTACCATCTGCGAACATTGCGTCTGCCATGGCGACAGCTCTACGAATTGAAACACTCTAAAAATTTGAGTGACAAAATGTCTCATGAAAAAACGTGTTGAAGCACTGCACAACCACTCATGGCAGATTGCACATGCCGAACTGCACATGACATGTTGTAAAAACAAAAGTTTTAAAAGTTTTAAAAAGAAAAATATATATTATTATATATATATATATATATATGAAAAAATCGGTTCAAGATGAATTATTTGAAATATTATACAAGCAAGCAAAACATGAATTGGAAAAATTAGAAATTATCAAAGAAAGTAGAGAAAGTAAAATTGTAGAAATAAAACAAAAGTGTGTTATAGAAAAAGAAGAACAAGAACATTTAGATAAGGAAATGAAGTTTTTGGAAAAACAAATTGAACTACAAAAAGAACTGATAGAATTGTATGAAAATAATATTTCATAAATTATGTGAAATTACACATATTTAAAGAAATGAAGATAAAATTATATAAAAGTTTTAAAAGTTTTAAAAAGAAAAATATATAGTATTATATATATATATATATATGATGGATAAAGACAAATATAAAGAGGTATTTGAAAAAGAGCTAGATAACTTGTGTGATGAATATACAATGAAAAAATATTTAATATTAGAAAGACAAAAAGATATACTGATAACAATGAAAAAGAATTCCAACACAACATTTATAGATGATGAATATATTAAAAATATACAAGATTCACTAAATGATTTGAAGAGTTATTTTAAAAACAAAAAACAAGCAGTATAGAAATATCACAAAAATTTTATCATAAAATTATTGTAAAATTTATGATAAAATTATTGTAAAATTTTATGAATTTTTTATCATAAATTTCTGAAATTTTAATGGCGAAATGTGCGAGGGTATGATGTCAAAAATGTGCAAAAATTTATTGAAATGTTGAAATCATAGGGTATACCCTAGGGAAATAACGCATCAGGCGTTTGCGGTACGGAGATAAACATGGGGCATGCCCCCACCTAACTGTATTGAGGTGCTGTGCCGCATGGGGCTGGAAGATTTCAAGCTTCGACGTAAAGACCGCCTTCTTGCAGTTGAAGCTTATAGATGCACATGACGTGCCCACAGTCGTCAAAACCCCGGCCCTGTGGCGCATTCATCACATCTGCTCTGAGCGCTTCTGGCTGGTGCTGGGAGCTCTGTATGGGTTGACAATTGCACCGCGTAGTTGGTGTGAGGGGCGCGATCACACGATGTCAACTGCCAAGGCTTGTCTGTTGGACTGCGATGTCACTTTCGGCAGGCTTGAGTGTGACCCCAATATTTGAAGGGTTATCGCTACCGCTGCAGATGGCTCTGCAACCACCGTCGGTTTCGTAGTTTGTACGTAGATGATGCATTGATCGCTGCCGAGCCCTCGTTCATTCGTCCACTCACGGAGTTTGTGTGCTCTCTGTGGAAAACTACCGCACCGGAGTATCTTGATGAGGTTGGCATTCTTTCGCATCGGGGCTTTGAGCTTGAACGTCGTGGTGAAGCCATTCTGTTGCATCAAAAATCGTTCACTGCCGAACTTTTGTTGCGATACCCAGGCCAGGAGAAGTCTGACTTGCCCACTGGTCTTACTACCATGCACCGGAAGAAGCCTATCAAGAACCTCTAGCAACAGCAAAGCCTTCAGAATCTCTTGATGTCGCGATGCACGCACAGTGTGAGATTCGGCAGTCGACTCCACGCGGGCCTCATCAAGACCATTACTCGGGGTCATGGGACACTCGGGTATATGCAGACCTAGATATGCTAACAGCTCGAGCAGCCTCACGTTGCAAAGCCTTAGCGCCGATGTCGGCCAACATGAACCGACCTCGCAGGTGACGGAGCAGCCAACCGGAGGACAACTTCTCCTTGACGACGTTTGCACGCACATGGAGGTGTCGAGACCTCCATGCCCCGAAGGGCACGCTGCAGATCGAAATAGTGGCCTTGTTATCGTAATACAACACACACTGAACCGACGTCTCAAGCAGCGCTTCAAACAAAAGCTTCTGGGCTTCTAGGTCTGACAAAACATGCGCTAACCCAACCAACTCACATTCTGCCGTGGATTGGGTCATGAAGGCCTGGCGCTGAGAACTCCAGGTAATCAAAGCGCCTCCAAGCAGTGTCATCGAGCAGTGGTGGGAACGTCCACCCTGGGGTGCGAAGCTAGCGTCACTGATACCTTCCGCAACCTCCAAAACCCGACGAACATAAACCCCTTCAGGCCCCTCATCCCCAGGTGGCGGCCCGCACGAGAGCCCGGTGCTCGGGCATTTGCGGATGTACCGCAAAATCTGGTGGCCAATGGCTTTAGCCTCCTCGGGCCTGCTGCTTAACAGACGTGTCATGGCAGAAACTGCAAAGCAGATGTCTGGCCGCGTGTAAGTCATAAGCCATAGAAGTTCACCAGCAAGTTGCTGGCACTCACGAACGAGGGCCGGATTGGCCTCCTCAGGTTGGGCGTTGACTTCCCCAGGAGCACACTGGTGAACTGCAGGATGGTTGGTGGCCAGACTGGGCCATCTTTGTCAGCTTTTGCGTTGTAGTTGTTAGCTGGTGGTGGTTGCGTGGATGCTCATGGTTCCAACGGGCCGTGAACTCCTGGGAGGCTCCGAGCCCACCTGCTCGCGCCGCCATGACCAACAGCAACAATGCTCGACCTGCCGTGACCAGCAATAATCGGCTGCAGGACGGAGCTGTGACTCGTGTGCGTTCCGCTGAGCGGCAGTCCGGCTGTCCATCCTTGCTGTCCTCGATCTCACGCGTGTGAGGTTGCTCGTTGAGGAGTTGTGTGCTGTCGCGGAGGGTGACCTTCAATGGCAGTACTTGGGTAGAGCTTTCCTTCACGTACGAAGGACAGGCCATCATGATGCATTCCTTGCCTCGTCTAGCGTCGTCCTTGGCTCTGAACTGCTTCATCCGGATCGTAGCTCCGCCTCGACTTCTTCTGATCCTCGCTCTGTTCATGCTCGGACCCCGCAGCTCCTGGATCCGTGGGAAGATTATGAGGCTACTTTTGAGGAGACTCCGAGCGCTGTTCGTCTGCAAGAGAGATACCGGGCTGCAGGTGTTGATTATGACAATGACGTAGCTTTGCTGAATGTTTGGAACTTCCGGCAGACCCAGGGTCGTCAGTATTTCGAGACTGGGATCGCGCGATGGCAGCGCACTCATTGGCCGCAACCAGGTGAGCTCAATCGGGCCCTGGTCAACCTTGCTGGGTGAGCCCCAATTCGGGGCCCCAGCAACTACCCTGCTGGGTGAGCTCCATTGTGGGCCCCAGCAACCAGGCGTGCTCAAGGGGCCCTGGTTAACATCCGCCATTGTGCTTGAACCTGCCAGGTCTATGGCTATGGCGGTGGACGATTTCTGATCTGGATGGTCTCGGAGGCCGGTTCAGTTGCAGTCTTGCTCTTGATTTCGAATGTCTTTCCCAAGAATTTCTTGCAGGTCTTCGATTTCGGCTTCGAGGCAGGTGACTGCCATCGCCAAATCGGGCCCCCTTGCAGCATTCCATGGCCAGGTGGCATCCTTCGGCCTCTATTTTGAAGCTGGCGCCAGGAGCTGAGATTTACACGCTTTCAGTTCAATGATTTTTCCTCTTGGTGATTAAGGTCCGAGACTGAATTTCATTGCCGATTTCAGCTATGTTCACAGCCGGGCTAGTTTCTCAGATGCTTAACAGTTTAACAGTGAATGAAGTGATCATCCCGTCCACAATCTCGGTGGAGTCCGTGCACAGCTGGGTCCGCAACTTATCGTTCTGGTTTCTCAGATTCTTGAGAGTGATTAGATGATCATCAGGTCCACAAGTTGGACATTTCGATTTCGTCTTCGCTTTCGACGGAGGTGCCACAGGCATAGCTTTTTAGTATAAGTCCGTGAGAAATGCATGACAGGCTGGCTAACAGAACCACTCGGATGGCTTCGAGGCGGCTGCCCTAGCTTAGCATGCTCAAACTTGGTGTGGAACCATGTTGTGCATACGCCAGGTCCCGCATTTCTTCTTCATCATCACTGTCTTGGTTCACGGTGCCTGCCGGAAGAGGTCCCTTCAGCTTCTTTTCGTTGCCGAGAGGGTGCACGCATGCACACTCTTGCACCATTGCGCCAGCTGACTTGCTTTGATTGTGGTGACCGGGCTCAAGTGCACACGTCGTGACATGAAGTTCCGAAGATCCTTTGCAGGGTCATGTCAGACACCCTATTTAAATTCCTATTCAGTGATTCAGTCAGATCCTTGGCAATATCACGTCAGACACCCTGCTTAAATTCCTAATCAGTGATTCAGTCAGATCCTTGGCAGTGTCATGTCAGAGACCCATCTTAAACTCCTAATCAGTGATTCAGTCAGATCCTTGGCAGTGTCATGTCAGACACCCATCTTAAATTCCTAATCAGTGATTCAGTGATTCAGGGCCATGGACATAGCCCAGTTTTGCGGCGCGAGACATGTGTTGAAAGGACTACGGGGAGGTTTTTTGGGCGGCCCTATGCAACTCGCTCAGCAACGACTCCGCAAGAACTCAGGTCTGTGAGAGAACTACGTAGGAGTGTGCTTTTAGGAGTGTCATGCACGTTGGCAACCTCACTAGCGTACTCCAAAAGTGGCGGTCTACAGCTGTTCTGTGAGCTTGTAGATAGGAGTACGGGAAGGTAGGGCTGTGAGTGGCTGGGGGCCTTGAGGACTTTAAAAGCCAGCGCCAAAGCAGCTTGGTGCACTGTTCTGTCCAGTGGACCCTTCGCCTACCTGGCCTAAGGCCTGCTCCTACCGTTCCCCCTCTGTACTGAAAAGACCTAGTAAAACAGCAGTTCCGTTCTATACTGTTCGGATGGGATCTAAGAATGTGCCCGAAAAGTTTCAGCTCTGCTTTGTGGATGTGGTGGGTGAGAGGTGGCTGTGAGGTAAGTGCTCTCACCTCCTGGTTGGTGTAAGTGCGTGCTGTGGGGTTGAGAACTTCGGTGTAGTAAGTGCTTTTAAAGTGAAGGATCTTGCGGAGTGACTGTGAGTGGAAGGCTTCTAGCCTGTGGTAGTCGCCGGCTGTGAGGGCTGCAGACTAAGTCACCCGGGGAATGAAAACCGCATTGTAGATGCGGAGTGTCCACTTCAGTGTGAGGTCGGTGTTGCGCCAGAATTGGTGCAAGAGTGGAAATGCTTCCTGGCTTTGGCTAGCCGTGTGGTGACGTCCTTGTGTGAGGAGCCGTTGCTGCTAAGCATGACTCCGAGGTACTTGGCGTGTTGCTCGATGCTAAGTGGGGTGCCGTCTGTGAAGTTCTGTGAGGTGGGTGAACAGTGAGCGTAACTAAACGCACTTTTTGAGATTGAGGTGAAGGTTGCTGTGAGCGGCAACACGCTGCAGCGTGTGGAGGAGCTGTTGTGCCCTGGTCGCCGTACCCGCCATCAGCGCAGTGTCGTCGGCGTACGCTAAGTCGTAGAAGGGCTGGTTTTGGCTGTAGAGCCAGGGAAGGAATTCCCCGTTGGCTGTGAGCTCTTGGTCCACGTCGTGCATCACCATGCCGTGCACTATGAGGAAGAGGTAGGGTGACAAAGGACATCCCTGCCGAGTGCCCGAGCTCGCCTCTTCTTCCGTGCTGTGTTTGCCTGCTGCCGCAACCCTGAATTGTGGTGAGGTGTAGATGTTCTTGATCAGTGCTGTGAAATGCTGTGGGACGCCGTAGCGCGTGAGTGCAGTGATGAGGGCGTCTGGGTGGATCTTGTCGAAGGCCTTCTCCCAATCAAGAAGGATGGTGTAGAGTGTAGAGTGATTGTCCGGTTGCCTCCGCTCTTTCTATGAGTCTGCGGATGATGTGGATGGGCTGTGAGGTAGAGCGTGTTGCTCTGAACCCAAACTGGGTTTCTCGAAGCCTGTCATCCAGTGCTGCTTGGAGTCTGTTGTGGATGATCTTCGCGAAAAGCTTGTATGAAGTGTTGAGTAGGGAGATTGGTCTGTAGCTGGCAGGGTCTGTGAGTGGTCCTTTGCCCTTGTAAATTTCGACCACTATTTCTTTGTGCCAGTCATCTGGAACAGTGGCTGTGAGGAGGGACCGGTTGAGCACTCTAAGGAGTGCTTCTTTGTTGTGCTCATCTAGCCACTGCCATGCCTCGGCGGGGAGCTGGTCAGGGCCTGGGGCTTTGTTGTGCGCAAGCTCCTTGAGTGCTTCGTTGAGCTCGGCTGTGGTGATTGGCTGCTGGTCCACGGTGGCAGGTGGGTGAAAGGGGTCGGTGGGACCCGTGTATGGTGTGGGTGGTGGTGCCCAATGTGAGTCTCGCAGGTATGCTGCAAAGGTTTGGGCTTGCTCTGAAAGGCTTGTGGGTTTGCCCTGTGAGTCCCGTATTGACGGCCTGGGCTTGTAGTCCGAACGTATCCTTTTGATCCATCGCCACTTTTGGCGCCAATCTAAGGTGGCCCCGCTTTCGGCCAGACGTTCTTTAAGCCATTGTGTTTTGTCTTTGCGTGCTTGTTTTCTGATGTCTTTGTGAAGCTGCGCCTCCAGGTCTTCTCTCTGTGAGAGTCGCGCCGCCGAGCATTGTTGTATCAGCTGCCAGGTGGCTTGTGTGATCCAAGGGTGCTTGGGAAAGGATGCTGTGTTCCGTGCTTGCTTCAGATGCCGCCTGGCTAAGGGTGGACCAGTCAGAGCGTGTGTGGCTGGGCTGTAAGAGGGAGCTGCGCTGGTGGCTGTGAGTAGGTGTTGTCGTCGCTGAGAGTGGGATGAAGCTTCTGTTGGATGTGTTGGTCGTACTGTTGCTTTTGTTCTGTGGTCGGTGTTCTGGTGTGTCTTGGCTTGGGTGGTGTGCGCTTGGTCTCCTTGGTGCGGAGCTGTAGCTCTACCTTGACCAGATAGTGGTTGCTGTTGAGGGCAGCGCCGGGGAGAGAGTGGATGTTGTGGATAATGTTGCGCCACTCCTTGTGGATGATGGCGTGGTCCAGCTGGACCAGATCTCCGTTGGGCCGTTTGTGGGTGTGTCTGTTCTGTGGTGCTTTTTGCAGCCAGCTCTGTGGGAGGCAGTAGTCCTGTGAGGCAAGGAGATCGTGGAACTGGCGTTGGTTGGTGTCTCCGTCCTCTTCGTCTGCTGGCTCGTCTTCCTCGGCGGTTTTGCCGGGAATAAAGTGGGGGCCGGTGGCGTGGGGGAGGGCAGCAATCTCGTCGAGGGCAAGGGCATTGAAGTCGCCAACCACCAGCAGCGGTGATCTTTCCCTGTGCTGTTGAGTGCTTGCCAAAATTGGTCTCTGCATTGCTGCTCCCGTTGGTTGTGGGGGGCGTACACTGCCAGTATTGTGAGGGGGGCCTCGACTGTGTCAATGGTGAAGGTGAGAAATCTGCCATCTATGCAGGTGAGGTCGGTGATGGTGGGTGTGAGGTGTGGGGCCATGATCAGCGATACCCCTGTGAAGGTCTGCGTGGGGTTGCCTTTGTTGTCGTATTCCTCCGTGGCGCTGTGAGTGATGGTGTGGCCGTCGATCATAAATTGATCGGGTTGCTTCATGTGGGTCTCTGTGAGCACCAGCCAGCTGAAGCGGTGCTTTCACATGATATCAATCAGCCTGTGCAATTTGGCTGCTTCAAGGAGGCCTGTGGTGTTCCAGAAGGCACCTCGGAGAATCTGGTGCGGGGTGGTTTGGAGGTCGTGTTTGGTTCTGCCCTTCTTGCTGGGCTGGGCAATGTGGGTCTTGAACCAATGGGCTCTGGTGTGCTGGCGGTGGCGTGTGTCATGTCTGCTTTGCCACTGTTTGCGGCTGTGAGGGGCCGGGCTGGAGTCTGTGGTTGGGTGTGCTGTTGGTTTGTGGTGGTTTCTTCTTCAACTTGAAGAGAGTGTTTCTTCTTCAACTTGAAGAGAGTCTGCAGAAATCGCCGGAATCTGTGACATCTGTGGTGTGTGTGCTGGCTGTGGGCTGTGTTGCTGCTGGGGGTCTTCGGTTGCCGGTTCTGGCTGCTGCTGTGGCTGCTGTTGGTTTCCAGCTGCAGCCGCCGGTGTGACTAAGGCGAGGTAGTCTCTGTCAATAATGCTATGCTAATCCAGTAATACTTATCACCTCATCCTTCACAGCTTCTAATCTAAATTTTGTAGCCCCACGCCCGCCATCGTCCTTCGCGTTCGCGGCTGGCCTTCGTCTTCGCCTTCGCCATGTTCTCCTGCACCACGCTGGACATGGCGGGCGTGGTGGTCCCCTTCGGCGCCGAGTGGAAGTACCCGAGTCTCAGCAACTTGGGAAGCAGATTGAATGTTTGCATTGCAGGGGTCATGATCCACTGCTTTGCATGTCACCGCCCTGTCAGCTCAGGTCGGCGCCAAGGTGAAGGAGAAGGCCGCGATGTCATGGCTGGGTGCCCTGGCTTTGTCAAGAGACAACAGTCAACAGAAGAGTTTTGCGAATTTAAAATCCAGCTAAGGTACTGCCACGAGTTCTACAAGGGATACGTCCACACGATGTGGGACATCCGTGGCAAATGGCCCGTCCGTGGTCGATGGCAAGGGCAGGTCGCTTTCGCCTTCGCGTGACTTGGCTCGTTTGAGATAAGTTCTGTTTACTGATACTGCGTAAATATTCGGCGCCGCCTGTTTATTGGGTGCAGCATTCATGGCATCCTGAGGTGACACGGGGAAGGGCGACGACTATGGCCCGGAACGGCCGCCGAACCCCTTGACGAATCCGAATTTTTTCATTCGCATGGTGGAAGAAGGATGGGACGCGATAGTTGCAGCCGTGGTGCTCGTGTTCGGACTCGCTGCCGGACATGGGCCGGACGTCTACCACTGTGTGGCGATCTCTTGTTTCTTGGCTGCATTTCAGTTGATGTTTTCTGGAGCTACCTAAGACTGTGACTGCATTAGACGACCCAGCAGACTCAGGCTCGGCTGGCTGCCATCGCTCCCTCAGTGCAGCCATGGTCATCGCCTTCTTCGTCTTCAATATGGGGCTGTGGGCGCCTTCGATGAAGAAGGAGTATGACGACCCGGAGAAAATTCCGATTTTCTCCGGGAGGAACCCAGCGCAGCAGGAGGTGGTGGAGGTGATCAAAGAGCTGTGCAAGATCGCGGAGATCAAGCCATTTGTCACAAGTTAGGAAAAAGGGTTCTTCGAAAAAAATCTTTGGGCTTACTTATGTACTGTTCATATACTGTCTACTCTCTTTGCTTCTTGACTGTTTCCGTGCCTCGGGAAAGGATCGCCGAGCAGTGCCGCTACATGGGCTTGCAGATTCCGTCGGCTCCGCCCGCCGCCCACGGGTGCTTCGCCGTCGCAGCAGTGGTTGCCGCGGGAGCCTCCACCCCCACCACCTGCAGCTGCACCGGCTTCGTCTTCGTCTTCGGAAACGTCGGCCGTGCAGGCCCTGCTCATGAACATGATTCACCTGCAATGACCTGCAAGTTAGTACAGACACACGCATCGACATGGTAGTCCGTTAAATCTTCTTCTGGCTGCGAGGGTGCCAAGCGCTTTCCGAGAACATGTTCGAGCTGCGCGGCCACCTGACGGAGATGAGGGTAGACGCCTCTGTGTGGACGGTGGCTCGGCGTTTAAACTGTTCTTTTTTTGCGGGCTTGCGATCATTGCTTGTTGGTCCTCACTTCTTTCTTCAATTAAGGTCATGGCGTCGCTTGCAGCCGAACGAAGCGACATGGACCGCGAGTTCGTCATGTTTGCGGAATCGATGCGGGAAGCCAACGGGGGCGTCATCGAAGGCGCATTTGACAACCCGTCGGCTGCCGTCATCCATGCATTTCCTCAAGAACGGTGACCGCAACGGTAGGCACACTTCCAAGACACGGGCGACCAGGTTTGCTTCCAAGGTCCAGACAGTCGAAACACACTTCCAAGAACCAGGTGGTCATAACGATAGGCAAAACTTCAAAGACGACAATAGTCACACCGCCAAAAGTTTTCCAACACTTTTAACAAGCAGGCGGCCGCGACGGCGGGAAACCTGTTCAGGCCAAGGGTAGTTTGACTTCCAAGAACAAAGGCGACACACGCCCTGCCAACAATCAGGTGGCAGACGCTACATACACTTGCACGAACAGACGGCCGCGACGACGGCAGGTGGAACTTCCAAGACAAGCGTAGGTACATAGACTTCCAACAACTATGACTGCAACGGAAGGCACACTTCCAAAAGCCAGACGTTACGTAGACTTCCAAGAACAAGGCGGCCACAACGACGATGATGACGTTAGGTACAACTTCAAAGACAACGGTAGGTACACTTCCAAGAACCGTGACCACAACGGTAGGACCGGTCAATACACCTCCCAGATTTCCAAAGACCAGGCGGCCACGATGGTAGATGAAATTCCCAATAGTATTGTAACTATACACTTCCAAAAACCATGACAGGTAGCATGTACACTTCCAAGAATCAGGCATCCGATCACCGCATACACTTTCATAGGAAGGCCACGGTACAGTAAGGTACACTTCCAAGATCCAGACACTACATAGACTTCCAAGAATTAGGCGGCCGCTACCGTAGGCAAGACTTTCAAGACGACGGCAAGTGCACTTGCAAGGACCATGGCCGAAACGGTGGGTACACTTCCACGAACCTTGAAGCGATCACGACGGTAAGTAAGGGCGGGGCTTTAGCCACTGAGCTACTGAATTCGTTGCAACTCGATGTAGCACTTCATCTCTGTGAGAGCCAAAGATTACAGCTGTATTAATCCAACCGAAGAGACCAGCGCTTTAGGGTTGAAGGCTCAGGGCTAAAACTTTCGGGCTTGGGGCTTTTGGGCTCGAAGTTTAGGACGACTTTAGGGTCTAGGGCTCGAGGTTGAGGGCGTAGGGCTTTAAGGCTTAGGGGTTTCGGGCTACGTGGATGCCCCGAAACCCCCCTAATATTAAAACGAAATCCCGGAAATCAGTGTGTATAGTCAAGGGGGGAGGGGGGCGTTTAATATTAGGGGGAAGGGATTATTTCCGTCTATCATATTGGGAAACTTCCGGATGTTTCCGTCTTCCTGACATTCTCGGATATTCCGTTTTGTTTTCGATTCGTTTCACGTTCCTTCATTTTCGGATGCGCCGTTTTTCATGTTCGGGCTTCCTGGAGTGGTCCGTCTTCTGATTTGTCTGTCTTCTTCCCGTTTCGACCGGCCGCAACGAATCTGACCCAGGGCCCTTTACTTTCGAGACGGAGACCCAACAATATGTGCTGTTAGGAGCTACAGTCTCTGCTCAATGAGATATTGCCTGCCTCAAAACATGGTCTTCCTTCACGCAAGCAAACACTTGCATGTTGCATCTCGTGTGGCTAAATGTCTTTGCCCCCGGCCCCCTGTGCGATAAGGGCCGCCTCATATGCGCTCATTTCCCAATAGTTTCGTGTGGCTTCCATTTCGCTTCATAACCCATCATGTCCGGATGTTCCATCACCTCCGGAAGCATGTTCGGATTTTCCGGCTTTTGCATTCCCTCAATTCCGGAAATTTCCGATATTCCACCAGTTCCGGACATTCCATCAGTTCCGAAACCGTGTCCGGTTTTTTACGTGTTCTATCTTGCCGGAAAAATCCGTCATTCATATTTGATGAGTATGTGTTCATTTCCGGATTATTCTGTTGATTTGCCGTCCTTTATGTTCTGTCATTTCCGATATATATATATATATATATATATACATATATATATATATATATATATATATACGTCTCCTAATTATCGGTCTGGTGGGTAGGAATTAGGAGATCAGTTTCGCGATCGTTGGAACAGACTTGATCTATTTTCTCCGTGGCCATTTTGGCGATAGCCGATCGGGCCATACCGAAAAATCGGCGTGGGAGGTGGAAGTGAATAGGCTCGCTCGATCGCAGCCATGTCGTTCCCTCCCGCTGGCTTCCATCAAGGTCGGCAGATGGCGGCTCCGATGGCCCCGCAGTTCGGGCTGCCCCGCCGGCTTGGTCAGCCTGAGAATCCGGGCAACTGGGGACATTACGTTCCAGGCGAGGCAGAGGCTCCCGAGAATCCCGCGGCTCCAGCTGCCGCATCCGGCGATTGGGGCTCTGGAGGCTGGCGTCGCGACGATCGTCGTGGACGTCGTGACCGCGGGGCTCCTGCTGCCCACAACCCCTTCGCTGTTCAGCGGCCCGAGTTCGTTCGCCAGGTCGTGGTCGAGGAAGAGGACGAGACCCAGAACTCGCTCCTCGTCATCGACAACCGCGACGACCGGGTGATCTCCCCGTTCCAGAACTGGCTGGCCGAGGAGATCATCTCGAATGCCGCCAGCTCGATCAATGTGCTGACGGAGCGGGACTCGGTCATGCCCCCGAACTCGGGCTACCACTGTTCGCTGTTCGCGAACTATACGCTCGATGGCATCAAGGCCGTTCTGCTCTTTTCGATGTCTTCGAAAACAGGGGGACCATGTGCTCAGTGGGACTCCTACGCGAGTCGGGCGCTATCGCACCCGGCTTTCCAGCCCTTCACTTGGCCGGTGATGTTCGACACCTCGGCCACCTATGTGGATGTGAAGGTCTTCAATGGAAACGAGGTCCTATTCCATTGGGTCTTCAGGGGCTACCGCTCGGACTCGGATCTTTCTGTCCAGCAGCAGTTCTGCGACGAGGTGTTGATCCGGTCAGCCAACGAAGGATGGTTCCGACCCTCGATCGTCATCTCGGTCTTCGTTGGATGGAAGGTCTCCGTGACCTCGTTCGAGGTTGGAGCCCGAGTCTACACGATCGGCCCGAGAGGAGCAGTGATGGCGAGCGACCATGCCATGAGCACCTGTGAGCTCAGGGTGACAGAACGATCGTCCCGAGAAGGCTATGGGAACGACGCCGATCGTGTTGAGTTTCGGTTCCGGGACGCCAACAACCGGATCGATCTCAAGTGCGGGAGGACTTCGGTGCCTGGCACGTGGCTCACAGTCAGCCACATCTCGGGCCCCGCTCTGATCAGCACGATCCAGGCCTGTCGGACCCAGCGTGCTCGCGTGGAAGGTCCAGACCACATCCAGCAGTTCGCGCAGCTGTCTGCGGTGATCGCCCCCTGGTACCACAGCGCGTTCGCCCACGAACAGGTGCAAGTGGGAACTGCGACAGACGAGTTCCCGATGGATCATGGGAACTGACTTCCACGTGCGGGCTAGATCTAAGCTCAGGGTCTGCCCACTGGAGTTCGTCCGGCAGGAGGCGCTCGCCCACCCATCACACGATGAGAACAACGCCGTTCGAGCTCGGAACGGCCCCCCGGCTCTTATGGAAGAGGCGGCTCGGCAGGCGGTTCAGCAGCTGGGCTCCTCGGTCACTTCGGCGCTCACCAACGGCCCAGCAGGTGGACCAGAGGGTGAGCACTGTTCCGGTGCCAGAGGAGGGCCAGCTCGGCCAGGAGCAGGTCGCCGAGGAGGTCGTCACCGATGCCCGCGATTGTATGAGGGCCGACATGCGATTCTCGCGCACGTCGGCTGCGATCACGCCTCAGGTTTTCACCGACGTGCTCCAGCACCGTGAGCAGGCGGAGTACGAGCGGATCAGCACGGTCAGGGTGGAGGAGACGGGCCAAGAGATCACGGCTTCCCCCTCCTCTACGACCACGGTGCCGAAGGCGTTCGCCCCGGCCTACCCGCCAGCCAGATCGTCAACGGGGCCCTACACGATGGACAATACAGACTAGTTGTCGATCGAAGCCTAGGTGATGGTCGGTTTTTGTGCACGCTCCTAAGAGAGTGGTGCGCCGCGCGACCGAAGCCTCCTGGCGGATCAGCCGGGCTCTTCCGCGGAACAAACATGCCGAGCGATCCTCTCGGCGCGCTAGATCCCAGCGCATGTTCTGCCGGAAGTGAGATTGATCAATACCTGTCTCAGGCACGGCGCTCGGTTACCATTAGCAGGCACGTGCGATCGTTCGTGCAGCTGTTCAGGCCCAGCATGGATAGGTCCGTTCGGAAGATCCTATCCCTCCCCCTGTTCGGGGATGAATTTTGCCAATGGTTGGTGGATCTTCGGATGGCTCAGTTCGAGAAGCTCACGGCTGTTTCGGACGGGACGATCGCTGAGTGTGTGCAAGCATTCATTGATCTTGTCCCTGCCCTCGAGGAACTCCACACGCCAGATCGGCGGAAGAACGAGGAGGAGCTCGGCAGGTGGGTTCCGTCGATCGAGCTGTTGTTTGTGCTGGTTCGTAGCACGGCAGCAGCGGGCTGGGCTGATCTGGCCACTGATCTGGGATTCGGCTTGGCTGAAGCTCCGGTCGTCTTCGGGCGATCGCCACTGAAGTCGAAGGGGACTGGCAAGGAGCCTCCTACTTGAAGGGGCGGGGTGTTTAGTAATCGAATACATGGTTTAGGAGATTTAGACAATCAGGTTAAGTTGAGTTACAAGTTCGTTAACATGAGTTATAAGTGCTGTATATATACTATGTTGTATGGACAACTTAGCAAGTCCGAGGCTTGAATTAAGAAGTGGAGCAAGCAGTTGAGTCACTTAGCCAAAAGCAGGGTGGAACTTATAAGTAAGATAGAACAAGTCTTTTAAGCAACTTGCCAAACTTAGATAACTTTGTGTAACTGATTTAGGTAAGTGGTGTAAGTTGTTTATTTGAAGTTGTTTTCCTGGCATTTGCAAAGCTTCAAACGGAAGCTTGCATGGAGATCTCCTGCCGCATGTATTCAGGATGCAATTGAAAATTGCATGGAAAGCTGCTGCATTGCATGTGTTGAGGACATGCTCGCATGCTTGCCTTCTGTGTATTGTGCATGACTCCATGCATTGCAGCCATCTATCGCCATTGCAGGGCCCTTGGCTCGCAGGCAGATTTTCAGCTCCGTCCTCCATCTCGCTTGCCCATCATGCCTTTGCAGTCGGATGTGCGAGAGCGGCTGCAGGCTTTCCTTCGAGAAGCCTCGGATGGCGACGGCCTTGTCCGAATCGTGGAGAACTGCTTGAACTACTTGAAGTCCAAGCATCTCTTGACCTCCATGAAGTTGGACGCGAGCCTTGTGGGGATCCATCCCTGCAACCGGGATGGGTACGGAGTGAATCCACAAGACGTTCGTGATCTTGTGGACTCGATTGTCGATGTGGGCTATGTCCCCACACGTGTGCATGCGGTCGGTGTCGAAGTCGAAGGAGACTGGGTCCGGCAGTGGAACAAGAAGCTGTTCGAGTCAGCCCACGGTCTTCTCGGAAGCCTTGAGCCGGAAGCGATCAAGATCACTTCGATCTGCGGATCACATACCAATTGCGCTTTGCGACTTTTTCAACAAGGTGCAAGCCACGGCAACGAGGTCGTGAGTGTGGGTGGAAAGCTCAGCATGGAGCTTCTTCGTGCTCGGGATGCTTCGTTCCACGAAGCAGCTGATCAAGGCCTGACGTGGGACGTGATCTCCTCCTCCGTGGCGGAAGAGTTCCCAGAGCTGATCAGCTTGATATCCCGGTCAGGCAACACATCGCTTCAACGAGGAGAACATGAGCTACAAGTACTCCGTCGCATCCATTCCACGTACTACCGCTTGCAGACTCAGACTGGCCAAGCACCGGCTTTTGCATCTCTGAAGAAGTTGATATTGGCCAGCAAACCAAGCTGCCATGCCTCCGTACCCCACATGTTTACGTTTTGTCTGAAGGCTTCCGGGGGTGCCGATGCGAGCTTCCTTCAGGAGACGGAGTCCTTTGTGCGGGCTTACTGCCCTTCTTCTCGGCAATTGGGGCCTGTCCTGTGGGAGGCTTTCGGGCAAGATTGCCGAGGGCACCAGTCAGATCCCGTTGCAGCATTTCGCCATGCACTCATGAAGCAGGCATACTTGAGGCAGAATGTGACCATTGCTGATGTGAAGAAGATGACTTCTAAAGAACTCTTCCCCAAGGTCAAGGAAGCTGACAACATGATCCTCACGGTCAGGGGCATCTTAAGGGATGGAGCTCGCGATTTCATGACGGATTCGCGGGTCGTGCAAGCTCTGGCCACTATGGATATGACGATAGCATCGCACGTCCTCGGCATCAAGGTGCCGGACGAGAAAAAGTACAAAACAGTACAAGCGATTGGGCACGATTTTTTGCTCGTGGCAAGAAACCTGACCGGTGTTGCACTTCCTTTGCCATGGGAGTCGGTGTCTGAGCAAAGTGAACCAGCTGCAACTGCAGCGACTGCTTCCCAGCCTTCTGCTGCAGGTGTGATGCTTGAGCTTGCTGAAGACGGCAGTATCAAGGAACCTGAGAAGATATTGGCCTCCAAGGGTTTCGCTATGGGTGCACACATCCGTCGCAAGGTTGACAAAATCGAGGGAGTTCTTTCAGAAGTGAAAGGTCAGATGGTCTTTGTGAAGATGGCTTCGGGAAAGACGGCCAAGGTGGATCTCAATGTTATCCTGGCTGGAGATTGGGTCGTGTTTGTTCCTCGTGTGCAGCCCACAATGCTAGACAGCTTGGACCAGTACCAGCACCATGTGGATTTTGATGCCAGCATTCTTGCATCGAAGATTCAGCTTGAGCTCTACAAGCTTCACCAGTCCATGGAGTGTGGATCGGAGCACCTGAAATTGCAGCTGAAGCCTTCGAGGATGTTGCTTGCCAACTCGGACATCAAGAAACTCTGCATGGTGCCCATGACCAACAAGGTCGTGCAGAAATCCCAGGGCCAAGGCAACACCATGTTTGAGGTGCAGACGGACTGGCAAGGAGACGACCGCAAGTTTTGGCTTTCCGGAGCCAACATTCTACCCAAAGATAACGACGACGACACTTGCAAACATGTGGTAGTTCCCTTTTGGTTGGTGCAGCACAGCCATCAGGAAGAGGATTGCAATGTGAAGCTTGTTTGGATTGCGGGAACAGAGAAGAGCATCAAGATTCCGGTTTTTAAGAACACCAAGAAGATCCCGGAAGGCAGCCCCATTGTGGCTTTCAGATCTAAAACGGTGCAGGTGGCTCCCTTGGAGGAAGTGGAGGACGACCACAAGACTTCGGCGCAGAAAAGAGCATCGGCGAGCTCAGGTGGCTCCAGCAAGAAGGCTCAGAAGAAGTGATGTTTCGGCATCCGTATGCAGTCCAGTGTGCTGCTATACCAGCAGCAGCCATTGCTTGAGCTTGCAGTATCTGAAAGATTCCATTGTATGTATATGTGAGGTCTGTTTCTAATGCATTGCGGAGAAGGATATGTACAATTGTTGCAGGTTGCAAGCATCCGAGGGGCATGGTTTTTATAGAGCGACCATTCATAGAGTGTTCTGTGCAGCTGCATGGTGCGAGGATCCCTCAGGTGTGCGAGCTTGTGCTTTGCGGATGGAAATGCAGTGCAGCTTTATATGCTTCTGTATGCAAGTGCAGGATGCATCGCCCGTGATGAAGTGCAGGTGCATTGTTGAAGTTGCTGCTTGCATGGATGTGTTGTTTTCGCCTAGGCAGGGCATGTGTGCTCGCCGGCAGAAAACAGCTCCAGCCTCGCATCAAACCATTTCCCCCGTGCATCGCATCATCATGGCTTGCTTCGAGATTGTGACGAAACAGGTTGTCGTGCTGGGTGACCGAAGCTGGATGCCAACCCAAAAGAGTGTCGACGACCGGGTCTTCTGTGCTGTCTCGAAATGGTCCCCGCAGCTTGTGAAAATGATCACAGGCAAACGACTGGACTTGCGGTCCGGCCAAGGGGAATCATCGGGGTCGCTGAACATAAAGCTCTTTGACGATTTGATCGAGAAGAGGCAGGCTGCTTGCGACAAGCTGCTGGAAGAGGCCCTGAGGGACGATGAAGCCGACGACGAGCCCAAGAAGAAGAAAAGCAAGAAGGATAAGGTGAAGGCTTTGGCCAAGCACGTGCACCTGTTGCCGGCGATCGTCGACATTACGATCGATGGCTTTCAGCTGTCGATCCTCAGCGAGGGCCTGTCTACCGGGAGCATCTTCGTGGAGATGCTCTCCGAAAATTTCAATTGGCTCATGGAGCAGGCGAATCAACAAATGCCTGTCGATCGGAAGAAAAGAAGGCACAGCTCCCGGGACAAGACCGATGCCAGCGAGGATTCCGACAAGGAGGCCAAGGTTCCAGCGGCGAAAGCCAAGGGCAAGGCCAAGGCAAAAGCTAAGAGCACGGCCCTGAAGAGCATCCTGAATGGCTCCCCGGCCAAGAACCCGGCCCCGAAGGGCATCGTTGGCTCCCCGGCCAAGGCCAAGAAGTGATTCTGCATGCAGTCTCGCATGTATCTTCCGTGCATCCATGCAATGTGTATACTTGATGTATAGTATGTATCAACACACCGTGAAAAAAAATATATATATATATATATACATATGTATATATTACTGTCAATGATGCAAACTCACAACGGCTCCACACTTTGATTGCCCGATGCTGTCTTTGGACAGACGACATCGACCGAAGCTCTCTGAACATTGGTGTCGTGTTTCTGCATGCACATTTGCCCTTGTTGCAGTGGGTGCCACGTCTGCGCCATGCTTGCTTTTTCAGCTCTTTTGGCTTGTGAAGCTGCCGTGGTTTTTGGGAGTGATGATGTCCTTTAGCTTCTTGTCGCGAAGCCTTCCCTCCGCTGTGGAGGTGGGGCCCCTGTACAACCACATGCACACACATGCCACCGCCCCAAAAATAACAGGCCGATGTGGTGGAGCGGCTGCAGCTCCACATGGACTTCTCGAAGTCCGGGAGGGGGAAATACAAGAATGATGAAGGCCGGTGCCCCCATGCAAGTGATATGGATATATAGCCTTTCATTTGGTTGCAATTGTTTTGCAGGCACCACGATTTCCTGGTCGGCCAAGATGGGGTGGAAGATCCTGTCTGTTGGAGGCTGCAGTTATATATAGTGTCTGCATGGAATCAAGTGAATTGGCTCGTGCACTCGTGCAGGTGACATGTACTTCAAGCACCCAGACGTGCAGGCCATGAACGTGCCTGCCAGCCCTGGTCCTAGGTGTTTTCTTAATTTGGGTAGAAGAAAACCGTTGTCGCCTAAGGCGGGTGGCTCTACTGGAACGACGATGTGGGAGACTTTAAAGCTTCTGTGATATGCCTGGCAGGCCGGGTATTTGAAGCTCAAGGAGTCCATATGTATATATCCATGTAGTTGCAGCATGCAGGCCACGAGGATTCGGACACCGTGGAGGTGGACGTCGAGGATCCACCGGCCGAGCCCAGCATGCCCGACATGTCATTGCAACTGCTTTTGCATGCTGCTCCATCGTACATATCTAGTGTGCCTGCTCGCCAGTTGTGCTGAAGCCGGCGAACAGCAAGAAGCAGCGCCCAGCGGAGCCGAAGGCGGAATTTCTTCGTAAGGCGATATAATGTACTTCTTGTTTGATTGCAGGAGCCGCCTCCGAAGAGGTACATGGACCCCGTGCCAAAGACCAAGGACAGCAAGCATATAGCTGTTCACTGTGTATATAATGCATGCTGCATCTGTGGCAGGCTTTGCCCGCGAACTGGGACGAAGGACTTCTTGTGGTTGTCTGGAGCCAGGCTTCTTTGCAAGTGTTTGTTGTCTGGATTGAGGAGATCTGATGCCGGACTCGAAGGGCAAAGGGCACTACGTGAAGCCCAAGGCTTTTTCTTTGGGTCTGGCATGCACGACTGCACTTGTCTCTATACTGATGCAGTCTTCTTGGGCAGGTCGCTTTCATCGACGAGCACGGCCAGGCTTGCCTTGGTCTTTGTGATGGTGCTTCAGGTTTGCCTCTGCTTGCTGCTGGCCCCGTTGCAGGAGTGGGCGGCGGGCATGGGGAGAAAGAGGGCCCGGACACGTGGTGGCCAAGGTGTCCGGGCCACAAAGGCCCAAGGGGCACTCGAGGAATCGAGAAGCCACATGGAGGACCCTTGCTGCTTGCCAATCCACGAGAACAGCAAAGCTGAAGACACCGCGAGCCCCGACATGCAGGACTTGCGGGCCTCCCTCCACACCATGGGGGTCATGGCCGAGACGATAAACCTGCAAGCCCAGCGAGTCCGTTGCCTGTGCTGTGACCGAGGAGCCTTTCTGTCCTGATGGTGTTGAAACTTATAATGCCTGGCAGGATCCCATAGTTCCTGCCTGGCACCCCTGGTTTGTGGCCTCGAGACCAGGGGAGCCGCTAATAGTTGGAAGCTCAGACCGCCTGTGTTGCTCTATATACGGCCTGGCCTGCTTGCTTGGATCCCAAGGTCCTGCATGCTGTGAGCAGCGAAGGACCTGAAATTGGGGGCATTTTCCGGCTCGCCGCTTCGGGCACAGAGGGTCAGGGCTACCAGTCCCGATGGCCGGGGTTTATGCATGCATAAAGCCCCTTAAGCAAAATAGACCGGAACTTTATGCATGCATATGGCTGGGTTCAGTTTCCTAGGGCGGGGCTTATGCATGCATAAACCTCGGCAGGGCCAAGGGCACAAACCTTTATGCATACATAAAGGTTTCGGGTTTTTGGGGTCAGGCCCCTTATGCATGCATAAAGGGTTGCTTTCCCAGTGCCCTCGTGGTTCCCTGTCCTCTGGCCTCTCTAGGCAATAAGTAGGGAAACTATATAGGTAAGAAATAGCTTTGGGCTGCAGAAGACGAATCGGCGAGGGGGCTATATCCCCCTGTACAGCCGAGGCTTTGGGCTACCGGGGCCTCGTCCTGTGTCTGTTTCACGACCACAGACCATATGGGCCAGTTTGAAGAAAAACCGCCCATCCTCCGAGTGTGCACCGTTTGGTCAGGCCCATGAGGCACACAGACCCCCATGGCAACATGTGTGTGTGTGTGTGTGTGTGTGTTTGTGTCTGCGACAAAGAGCAACAAACGAGGAGAGGGAGAGAGGGAGACAGAGACAGAGACAGAGAACGAGTGAGCGAGGGAAGGTACAAGGGGGTTGGAGGGAGGGGGGGTTGGCTGTGAAGGAAGAGACTGCTACATAGCAAAGTGGCTGCATGGATTTCACTGAAGTACATATACATACACAGTTTTACACACTCTGCATATATACCTATTACATGTGAGATGTGTATCTACCCCACACACACATACATATATATATATATATATATATATGTATATATACACGATATGTATATATATATATATATACATATACAGATACCAAAACATATCGTTCATATATTCTTATATACACATATATATATATATACATACATATATGTGTATATATATTTATGTGTATATGAAATGGACTGAATCTCTGAACTTACATACACATATATTACACACTTGCATGCCTGCAGGTGTCGGTATACTGTAGTAACATGGCTGTGCTCTTGAGGGTGTCTACGGGTTCTGCTGGCGAGCTCAGAGCCCTGCCTGCGAAACCGAGACCCCTTTGGTGAAGAAGTCTTCCGGTCTGTGACTGCATGCAATGTGAAAGACGTCTCCAGTGGCAGGCTGCATGCTTGTGTGTTGCAAAGCACATGCACTCCATCATCTGCCTGCTGCCCGCTGCTGCTCTATAGACAGGTGTTCGCAAGCAGGGCTACAGCAGCTCGCTTTGTGCAGAGCATCTGTGCTATATCCGGCCGTGCCATGGCAGCTGCTTTCCTTCGACAGCTGAACCAGCTCCTCCAGACCCAGCAGCCCATCATGGGAGATCAATGGACTTCTCTCTTGGCTGCTCAGAGCGAGGTCGCCATCAGAACGATTCGTCAAAGCCACATCACAGTCGAGGAGGGTGCAGAGATCTGCAGCTTGGTGCAGCAGGGCCTTTGGTCACACGAGCAGAAGCAGGCCCTGGGTGCAGCCGTCTCCCAGACCTTGGCAGGCAGCACTCCAGCAAATGCCAAGGCCAAGAAGAAGAACCAGGAAATTCTCAACTTCTGGGGTTTCTTGGGCGCCGAGGACCGGAGAGTTTTGTCCAGCGACGACACTCTCGTCATGAGGCTGACTCACACTGCTCAGATAATGGCTCGACTGGAGATGTTCTGGCCATCAGAACAGTCTGTGGGACACATCATCAAGACCCTGCAGAGTTGCAACAATACTGGCTTGCAGAGCCCCGACGAGTTCCATTCGGCTGTCGTGTGCCTCAAGAAGAAGGTGAAGACCATGCTCAAAGATGCTTCCTGTGGCGAGTTCGTCGCCAAGTACACTCGGCCTGAGGATCTTCCACCACACACCCGAGATCGCTTCGCAGATGCCTTGGGAGGTGAGCTGCCTGGAACAATGGTGCTGGCCCGTGATGCTCTTCGTGGCAGTAACAAAAGCCTCTCTTTCCACAAGAGCAACACTGCCATGGTGCTGGGTGGTCCAGCAGCAGGCCCGGCAATGCACATGCCCCACACCATGCAGGGTATGATGCAGTTCTGGGGCAGCATGGCAGCTAACATGTTCAACCAGCAGCAGCAATTGGCGAAGAAGAACGATGGATTGCCTGGGTTGAAAATCTTCGGCGACCCAGCTGCTGCCGCCTCGTCTGGGACGATGGCCTCCTCGCCTGCTCAACAGCAGGCCTTGCAGCTTCCTGCAGTTACCAATGAACCGGCACAGGGCAGCGGAACAAAGCAGGCCGAGCAACAGGGAGTGCTGGCCAGCAAGGATCCTGTCAGTGCTGCACAACATGCAGATGAAATGCTTCAAGCTTGGAAGGGCGAGAACAAAGGGTTCGACAGCACCGTCGAGGCCGAGGCCAAGGAAAACGAGGCGAAGCACAAGGCAAATAAGAAGCCCAAGGCTGCAGCCAAGGCCAAGGGTAAAGCCAAGGCCAAGGCTAAGGCGAAGGCCAAGTGCACGGCCATGAAGTCCCAGCCCAAAGCAAAGTCGCAGCCCAAGGCGAAGGCCAAGGCTGCTTGCAAGGCGAAGGCGAAGTCGCAGCCGAAGAAGGTCCAGAAGGCTTTGCAGAAGTTCACTCGAGAAGAGGTCCGATGCATGACTTTGTCGGCTCGCATCAAGCTGCGACCCAATGGGTGTGCCAAGTGCCGGGAAAAGCCCGGCTGCACACCGTCGTGCTTTGGCCCGTGATTGCATCAACAGCTGCTGAAAGCATGCACAGCTGGAGTCCTATATAGGGTGAGAGTTTGGAGGCTACAGGCAGAGTGTATACATCTTAAGTCTATATGCATGTTGACGTGTTTTGGTGTCTTCCAGCATCAGCAAAGTTTTGTTCGCGAGCCTCCACGAAGCATGCACCTTATTATTCATCTTTCACAAAGGCTGTGTGTACATTAAAGGCATTGTACCTCGGGAGGTATAATGTTGGGAGCATCGCTTGCCACGGAGGGAAAGACCGAAGCGATCCGGTATGTGTGCTTGCTCACGAGTGTTTGGTAATGTTTTGCATGCTTGCTGCATTCATGACATTCCATGTGCATTGCAGCAAGCAGGCTCGCAGCTGCCAACTCGCCTGCATAGCGGGCAGAAACTTTTGTCCCACCCACCTCTTCCCTTTTTCTGGGTGCGAGTGCTGGCGTTTGCACTCTTACACTGCTTTCGCATTGCTTGCATTTGCATTTGTTCTTTTAGGAGGGTGCGAATGTGGACCCTTCTTCGAGAGCTATGTTGAAGCTTTCGAGTTGTACATGTATATATTATATATGGCTTTGCGATTTATTAAGATGTGTCTCAGGATCACGTTTGGTGTTAGGTTAGGTTTGGTGTGGTATATACTATATATATATAACTGTATATACATGTATATATATGTGTACAAATCAATACTCGGATGCTATATATCTATAGCTTTCGGGTTTCTGTGTATACATATATATATATATATCAAATATTTAGTTTCGGGTTTATGGTTAAAGGTTGTCTTGGCCTTGCACTGGAGTTTCCCGGACTGCTCGCAGTGGGGTTGCACCGTTGCAGCAATATGCTTGGAAACCTGCAGGAACAAAGAGCATGCATATATACATGTAAACAAAACATATCTCTGTATATATATATATATATAGATATATAAGGTACGTACACAGTGCCTGCATGCTCCCATCCACTTTTCCTATATATAGTATACCTTTTATACAGATATACATATATATATATGTATGAATCTGCAGTCAAAGTAGTGGGTCGCTCGGCAGGGCCAAGAGCTCGCCAGCAGACCCCATGGCTTCCGCCGGGAGCTCCTCGCTCTCCTGCTTGGGAAGGAAATCATATGTATCCCAGCGAGGTCTCAGTCAGGTCTTGCAGGAACTCAAAGAGCTGCCCGAGTTGCCATCTGGGACGAGTCGCCGAACACTGAAGCGGGCCCGGGATGAGAAGACTCGGAGCTACCAAACTGCTTATGGCGAGATCCTATGCGACTTCAAGTGTGTTGCCGAAACTGGTGTGGAGTTTGAATTTCCTGTCTTGAACCCAGCTGCAATGCTTGCCTGGGCGACAGAGCGATGTCGACCATTTGGCGAGTTCCTGGAGAGGGCCATGGATGCCACACCCCCCAGCATTCTTCAACCATGGGGATTGGTGTGGTATTCCGACGAGCTGGCTCCGGGCAACCAACTCAAGCACTCCAACCGGAGAAAGGTCCAGGCTGTATATTGGAGCCTGCTCCCTTTGGGACAGCATGCAATGGGTTGCGAAAATTGCTGGTTCACTCTCTGTGCCATTCGCAGCTCTCTGGTCGCAGATCTCGGCGGCATGACTGTGCTCTTCAGGCAGCTAGCAGCCTTGTTCTTTGAGAGACCTGACTTCAGAAAAGGTCTTGTGTTGCAGTGCCCTGGACAAGCACGTATGCTCTTTGCCGACTTGAAGATCATCATATCCGACGAAGCTGCAATTAAGGCTACCCTTTTCAATAAAGGAGCCAGTGGGCTCATATTCTGTGTTCAATGCCAAAACGCCGTGGACCACAAAAGCAGCATTGCTGAAAGGAGTCGGGGCAATATGGTGTCCGGCCTGGAAACCGACATGAGTTGCTTTCGGATGCACACACCCGAGTCTATACGAGACACCATGGACTTCTTGCGAAGGCAAGAGACGGTCCTCAACAAAGACAGATTCCTGCAACTCCAAACAGCAATGGGGTTCAATTTCAAAGAGGGTGGATTGCTGGCACATGCAGCATACGGGCCTCCGGTCATCGAGTGTGTGATGTTCGATTACTTCCATATCTATTTGGTCAATGGCATCTTCAATGTTCTGACGGGGTTTTTTCTTGGAGAGCTTCACAACCATGGCTGGAAGCACAATGACATTGATCGCTTCGCAAATGGTTTTACCTGGCCTTCTCGTTTGCGAGGTGCTGCTGCAAAGGATATCTTGCAGAAGCGAAAGCCAAGCGAAACCTTGAAGTGTGGAGCCAGCGAGGCTCTGAACTTTATGCAGCTGCTGCGACTCTATGTGCTAGTCTTTGTGCTGCCAAATTGCAGCAGAGATATCCGGGACTCTTGCGAGGTTTGGTTGGCTTTGTGCAAGGTGATTGATGCTTTGCAAGCGATCAATGCCAAACCTTCAGCATTTACCCCCCTGGAGTTGCAGCAGCTCATCAAAAGGCATCTCGATCTGGCGAAAAGTCGGTATGGAGATGAGTGGTGGGTGCCAAAGTGTCACTTGGCAGGCCATTTGGCGCTGCAACTGGCCAAGCATCAGGTCCTCCTCAGCTGCTTTGTGCACGAAAGAAAACATAAAATCATCAAAAAAATTTCGAATGAAATTTTGGATACAAGCAGAACCTTTGAGAGGAGCTTCCTACAAGATGTACTCCATGGTCACATGGAAAGTCTGGCAGAGGGTGTATACCTCCCAGGCCAAGGAGTTCGCTTGGTCGACCCTGTGAGACCAGCTCCTGCCAGATTGCAAACAGAGATACACAACACGATCCGGGTCCAGGGTGAAGTCTTCACAGCCAGGCAGGCAGTGCATGGAGGAAACTTCACCGTGGCTGTCGGCGACTTGGCCTTGATGGATCTGGATGGGGTCACTGCCGTAGGCAAAGTGGCTTATCATGTAATGTGCGAGAAAGTTGTATGGTCGCACATTACCTTCTGGACACATGTCCATGGCTGTATGTATGAAGTCTCCGACGATTGTGGCCTCGTGCAAACCCGACTGATCCGGGCCACATGCCCTTACAGCATTTCGGGCAATGCTGCCATTGTCGCAGTCCCGCAGGTGTAAAAAAGAGAACTGCATGCGAGTTTTAAAGCCCTGCATTGCGTCTCTGAGCAGCATGCTTCATGCAACTTAGATCACTTAGCTCACTTATCTTTTTCATATAAATACACTTAGCTAACCAAGTTAACTTCAACATAGCTAAGTTCAATAACTACACTTACACATCTCATATAAGTCATTTGCTAACTGTGCCAAACAATTAACAACCTGCATATACAATTACTAACACCCCCGCCCCTTCAAGTATGCCATTGCCGCTCGCCAAGAGGCCGCGGGCGATCGAGCCGAGGCCTGAAGATCCGCAGGCATCGCTCAAAACCCGTGAGCTCGGCGACGCCCGAAAGTGGGGCATGAGGCTGAAAGCGATCGTGGAGAGGTGCGGCGAGCACGCCGCGATCGCGGGCAACCCGAAGCCGGGATCGCCCCTGTCCCAGGATGAGATGAATGCATTGAGGCTGATCGTCTTCGAGAGTGGCGGTTTCCGCACTATCCAGCAGTGCGTTCGTCACTGGGAGAGGATTGAGACTTGGGCGAGGTCGCAGAACCTAGCGGTGATCCCGCTGACTACCGACGTGCTCGTCAAGTACCTCTTAGATCTCTCCGATCGAGGTTGCGGCCCCACCGTGATACCTTCGGTACGTGGGGCGGTCAAATGGATCTGCAAGCGGATCGGCTTGACGTTGCCCGACCTCCTCGATCCCCGGATCATGGCCTTGCAGAAGAAGGTCTATGGCGATCGCGGGAAAGAGACGAGGGAAGCGGTTCCCATCCCTCTGATCTTGGTGGCGGCGCTCGAGCGGTTCGTGTGCGCTCGTTTTAAGTCGAGCCAATTCCCCATGGCGTTCTTCGCATGGTGGGCTCTCGTGATGATCTACTCGTCCCTCAGGTTCGACGACGCGCTCCACGTCGTGCCCGAGGCGCTCGCCCTGAAGGACGAGGCTCTCTATGGGGTGGTTTGGCAGACTAAGGTCGAGCGACAAAAGAAGGGAACGCGGTTCGCGGCGGCCAGAGTCTCCGTCTCCGGATCCGACTGGATGGAAGACGGATGGCACGCAGCTGCGTTCGAAATGGACGATCGCGACTACTTCATGAAAGAGCTCGAATCGGCTGAGCGATTCGCCGATCGGCCTGCCAGCTACCAACGGAGCATCCTGTGGCTGCGGTACGTGCTCACTACTGCAGCTTCGGACGATCTGAAGCGCGGGCACATCTCGCCCGAGCGGCTCAAGGAGCTCCTGAAGATCGTGCCGGAGATCACCTGGCACTCCTGCCGGGTCACGCTGCTCTCGGCGGCGGTCCAGGCGCAGGAGCCCGATAAAGAGATCGGGCTCCAAGCGAACTGGAAGGATCCAAGCCAGCTGGTCCTGAAGTACGCTCGGAGCCGCAAAGAGATCTCGATCGAGATGGTCAAGCGGCTCACGAAGAGGATAGCATCCGACTGGAAATCTCCACCGGAGTTCGAGGCCGACGATACCAATCTGGTCGACTTCGGTGATCTCGCTCTGACCTATGTCACCAAGGCTAGATCGGCCGCGGGGTCCTCAAGGGATCTGAGTCTTAAATATCATGCCATGTATATAGATGGTACGGGCACGGAGCGAACGCTCTGCGGCCGGTACGCGATCACCGAGTGCGAGGATCTCGGCGAGATTCCGCCGAGTACTCAGATGTGCTCGTTGTGTTCCGGTAAGATCTTTACGGAGCCGTGAACACAGCTGTTCGCAGTCACGATGGCCACTCGAGCTGAGCCTCTCCCTGACCGTAGCTTTTCTTTTCAGACAGCTCGTTAGGCAGCCATGGTCGATCGCACCGCATACGCGAATGAGGCGGCGACCCCGAAGCTGAACCTGCGCCAGATCTTCGGGAGACAGGGGCTAGATCCAGCCCTCTGCAGGCTCTCGGCCGACAAAGGTCTCCTCACAGTCGAGATGTTCGCAATGCTGGGGCAGGATCTCACCTCGGCAAAGGCGACAATCCGTCGGCTGTGGCAAGATGACTTGACCCCGCTCATGCGGCAGCACAGGAGCTCTCCGTGATGTCCTTGGCGGCGGTGTGGCAAGCTGCTCAAGCGCTACAAACGCAATACGCCTCTCGGCGAGCTCGTATGGAGGAAGACCCGAACAAGATCCCGGAGCTCTCCCAGGAGGACCACGCGGAGTTTCGCGATCGCTTCGTGAGGGTCCACCCCGACGTCATCCTGATCGACGCCAAAGAGCCGCATAAGAAGTTCGTCGAACGGCTGTCCCGTGATTTCCTGATCCATGGGATCGTTCCGTTCTACGAGCCGGCCGAGATCAGGACCCGATCGGATGTGATAGTGGTCAAGTCTGGACTTTCTCGGAACGCCGAAGATCTCCTGTCCATCTCTAAGGCTGATCAACCCGAGCCGGTCACCGATGTCACGACTCTGTTCAACCGTCTGCATGCTTTCTTCATGGCGCTCGAATACCTCAACATTTGCGCGTTCTCACGCACCGAGGGCCCGCTGAAGTACTTGCAGGAATTGGAGCAGTTCCGCTCGGAATGTCCCGGCTTGCCATTCCTCATGGCGGCGGACCGAGCTATCCGGAAGAAGATCTTTCGCCTGCTGTCTGAACAGAGAGCGACGTACATCTCGTTCTCGCAGGCCCTGGTCGAGGTGCTCACCAACCACAAATATTTGTGGAACGATGCTCGCACTTCAGCGACTCTCTCGAAGATGGAACAGAACCGCCAGCAGCTCGCGAATAACCCTGATCAGGTCAAAGAGGATGAAGTTCCTCCTCCTCCCCACACCCCGTTCAAAAGGCCTCGGGGCGGAGGGAAGAAGAAAAAGCGACTGCAGACTCCTTCGAAGGACGATCCGCCGAAGAAGGTCGTTAAGGAAGATCCCAACAAGAAGCTCAAGCGGGACAATCGGATCCCAGAGAAGGAGTGGAAGCTCATCGCCGATGCGGCCAAGAAGGTGCAGGGCGCTCGCCGGTGCCACTACTTCAACTCCTCGCTCGGTTGCGTGTCCGGCGACAACTGTCGTTTCAAGCACCTGTGCATGGTCTGTGGGGAGCCGCATGCCATGATCAGCAACCACTGATCGGTTCCCAGCGAATCTGATAGTGCTCCTCACCTTACCTTGTCCGGCGCGCGTGGGGGCTGTGATCTGGAATCCCGCGCACAAGATCTCCTGAGAAAGCGAGCTCCGCTTCTGCGTGAGGAGATCCTCGACTTGGCTACAGAGCTCCCTGTTCAGGGTCAGCGTAAGGCTGCCGACGAACGAGGCGGGGCTTTCTTCGCGGGAGCCTATCGCCACGGAGGCATTACAAGACTGCGATCGTCCTGTCACTCATGGCCGTGGTCGATCAAGGCGATCACCACGTACATCGCTCAACAGGCTCCGGAGGCGCTCTTCACGTCGTTCGCCGTCCTCTACGATCAGGAGGCCGAACCTCACCGTGACTCGGGCAATGAGCCGATCCCGAACATTGTCTTCAAGCTCGGGTCGTTTGAAGGAGGCGGGCTCTGGATCGAAGACCCGCTCGGGCCCGATGTAAGAGAAATCGAGGGACGCTCCATCCCCGGTTTCCTCATCGACTTCGTCGACAATAAGATCCTCTTCAATGCTAAGGAAGCTCTGCACGCGACCCTGCCCTGGATCGGCACTCGGGTGGTCCTCGCCTTGTACTCGGTGCAGGGGGTCGATCGGATCCCTGCCGACGAGTTCGAACAACTCCTTTAGTTGGGCTTCCAGCCGGCGCCGGTGAACACAGGTGATCACGTGGATCGGTCCTGGCAAACTCTCACTTTTGCGCTCGAGACCCCGGACTCCGATCGGAAGCGGCCCCATGGCGCCCCGGTCAAAGCCGCGGAACATCGCCAACGATCGGCCGGCAAGAAGGCCGTCGCCGCGGGTTACCAGATGAAGAAGTCTGTCGTGGCTCCGCTGATCGGCACGGAGATGCACCCGGGTGAAGCGATCGCTTTCGCCTTGGAAGCTACGCACCCGTTAACAAAGGACGCGGATATCGACCCAGACCTCCTTGATGTTCTGGAGCAAATTGTTCGTGATCCTGCTCAAGTGCGCGATCGTCGAGCCTCTCTTCTGCAGCATTGGGAACAGCGAGCTCAAGATTTGCTCCCGTCCTCTGACTCCTTGCTCAAGCAGATACCAGATCGGCATCTGCGCCGTCTTCTTCGCGGCGGCCCAGACGGTCGTCCACTGGAAATGGGTCAGTTTTTCCACGTCGCCCTTTGGCGGGAGCTCATGAATGAGGCCAAATGCAGTGACACTGACCTGGTAGATCAGATCATGGCGGGCATGCCGATCGTCGGCGATATTGCCTCCTCCCACCGATGGAAGCCCGATCGCAAACCTCATGCGGAGCATCTCTCGGTTGATGCCCTTCGCTCGAGGGCCTGGGAATTTCGATCGAAGGTGTTAGGCGCGATTCGGAAATCTCCGATCACCGAGCACTCTCCCAAGGTCTGGGAAGGGACCATGGAAGATGTTCGAGAAGGGTCGGCGATCGGTCCCTTCTTCGACGAGGCCGAAGTCTCGGAGTTCGTCGGCGATGATCATTGGATCCCTACTCAACGCTTTGAAGTGGTTCAAAAGAACAAAGTCAGGGGAGTTGACAGTGCTACCTCAAATGGGATCAACATGGCGACGATCGTCACCGAGAAACTCGAACTCCCCTCGACGGACGCGAACGTGGCGGTGATCAAGTGGCTGCGCTCGCGGCTGCCGAAGTCCCCGCTACGTGGTTGGGTCCTGGACGAGCGGCGAGCCTATCGGCAGGTGCCGATCTCTCCGGCCCATCGCAAGTGGAGTGTGGTCGCTCTGAAGGATCCGGCCACGGGAAAGGTGGCGTTCTTCGTGATGGTCGGCCACTCCTTCGGCTTGGTCTCGGCCGTCTATAACTACAACCGCCGCTCGGCTGCGATTACCGACATTCTAAGGCGCGTGTTCATCGTGGCCGGCTTCAACTTCTATGACGACAAGTACGGCTTCGAGCCGGAGGCCACGGCAG